ATGATATGAATATTGTTATGTTTCATGTTCTTCCACAGCTCCCNGATGCAAATATTGTTATGTTTCATGTTGTCCCACAGCTCCCTTAAACTGTCCTCCTGCTTTTTAATTGTTTTTTCTTTTTCATTCTCTGATTGATTTTTTTCTACCCGGTCCTCTAATTTGCTGATCCGATCCTCAGCTTCCCCCTAATCTGCAGTTCATTACTTCCAATGTTTTTTTATTTCTACTATGTCATTCTTAATTTCCTTTGTAGTTTCTATATTTTTTTCATGCTGTTGAGCATCTTTATGATTAGTATTCTGAACTCTATATCTGATAGATTGCTTATCTCCACTTCATTTAGTTCTTCTTCTAGAGAATTCTTTTGCTCCTTCATTTGGGATTTTGTTTCCCCATTTTAGCTCCCTATTTGTATTTGTTTCTATGTATTGGGTAGATCTGCTAGGACTTCCAGTCTTCTGGATAGTCTCTGGTGCAGACGAATATCAGACACTGTTTGTGACTGGCCTTGAGTACCCTGCTTGAAGTTTTCCACATTCCACAACTTGTGGTTTCCTCTTCTGAGGCTGGGTGTGTTTGGGCAGGACCAAGATGTGCACCAAGGTGTTCTTTTCCAAGCCCTGGGTCCAGAAGAAAATCAGGCAAAGACTCAAAGCACCCAGAGGCTGTTATTCAGTCTCTTAATGAGCCTCAGGCTGTAGAAACTCCACAGGCAGCTGATTATCAGTCTCTTAAGGAGCCTCAGGCTATAGAAACGCCATGGGGTAGGGCTAGAGGTTTTCCAGACAAAAGCTGCTTGGAAGGTAAATGTCTGCCTGAGAAAGATGTCCTCTGAGGTATGGGGGAATGACTCAGCACCTGGGTCCAGATGGGTGCCCTCTGAGCTCTAGTCCCCTTGCGAGCACTCCTGGATTCTCCTCACACTGCTCAAGTCCACACCGCCTTCCTTCCACAGGAGCGCAAGGTGAGTGGCTCCACATAAAACTTTGTGCATCAGCCCTTTAAGAGGGTGCCTGCTGCTTTTCACAGCCAGATGTTATGTGGGTAACTTTCTCAGTTCTGGTGCTCTATGCTGGGGACCCAGCTTGGGGTTTAGACCCCAGAGTTCTCAGTGGGAACCCCAACAGCTGAGATATCCCTCCTGACCTTCGGCTGCTGCCTGTGGGAGCCCAGAGAGCCCTCTCTCGCCTCTGCGTTTACTACCAGTCTCTGTGTGGTCTCCACTTTTCCTCCTTGGTTATGAGGGTGCTCTCCAGATAGTCTTCAGTTGCAGTTGATTATTCAGGGTGTTTTTTCTATATTTTAGTTGTAATTCCAGTTTCATCCTGGGAGAATATCAGTGTAGCTCCCACTCAATATTCCACCATCTTGGGTCTCTCATGTGTCTTTTTTTATTACTAATATTTCAACTTCCTGGTAAATCAGTGCTATGGACTGAATGTTTATGTCCCCTTAAAATCCATATGTTAAAGCCCTAATCCCCAATGTGATGGTATTTGGATTTAGGTTATTGGGTTTAGTTGAGGTCATGAGAGTAGAGCTTGAATGATGGGATAAGTGCCCTTATAAGAAGATGGAGAGGACAGAGCTCTCTCTCTCTCCCATGTGAGGACACAGTAAGAAGGTGTCTGTCTGCAAGCCAGGAAGAGAGTCCTCACCAGACATCAGACACCAAATCTGCTGGCACCTTGATCTTGGACTTCCCAGCCTCCAGGGAGTGGGAGAAATAAATGTTTCTGTTGTTTAAGCCACCCAGTCTATGGTATACTGTTATATCAGCCAGAGCTAAGACAATTTTCAGTTCATTTATTATAATTTATACAAATTTTTGTCCCATGACACTTTAGAGAGAAAAAATTGGTCCTTCATCCCAAATGGTTTGAAAAGCTCTGACCTACACCAACAGCCCTGGTCCAGGAACCAGAAGTACTGGTCTCCTGCCACTGCTCTGTTCTAACACTAAGCCTCGGTTTCCTCACCTGCCAGCTGAGGTGTTGGAATGACCGGACCTAGCCAGTGTAGCCAGTCAGCAAATATCTGGGTCTTTTGGAAAATATGGCAGCCTCAGGCAGGTAGGGGCCATGGGCCCCCTCCCCCAAATCTCACCGTCAGGTGGAGCATTCCAAAGAAAGCAAGTCTTAGGGCAGTTCTGCCAGCCAGATACAAATATTCATTGTGAAACCTGCACAAAGCAGTTTGTAAGCTTGGTAAAGACCCACTCCCTGTTCTCACACATGTGGCTGTACAGTTTCCATGAAAGGTTGAGGCAGAGGCAACGTTCTTCTGAAGCAGTAGTCCGTGCCTTGGTCCATCCCAAGACAATCTCACAAAGTGTGGACCAGGTTCTTATGCTTCACTGGTGCAGAGGTGATACTTCTAGCCAGCCACAGAACTTGAGCACCGCCTACTCCACCAGTGAAAATGTATTTTGAATACCTCTCATGTCAACTAATCAACCCTCTGATGTAATTTCAATAACTACATTTGAAACCTTCATCACCACCTCTGGACTGTGGATTCCTAAGGTACTCCAAATGCAAAAGAGCTGCCCTCCCTGCCCACCTGCAGTTACGTATGCACATGTGCATCACATTACTGATGCTCAAGTATTTCAAAGTCTATTACACACAAACTGGCAGAGAGATGAATCGTGTGACCTCTAAGTTCCCTCCCCAGGAAAGTATATATAAAATATTGTATTAGATATATTGTCATACATAATATATATTTTTAACTTTGTCTGAGAAGCAAGACAGAAGTCAGTTTTCCGACTTCACCAATACCTTCAGAGGCTGGAATTATGTGGCCCATTCCCCAGGCCACAAGGTCAACTCTTCAAAGCTGAGACAGGTCCCCCCCTTTCTCCTGCTATGGGTCAAGTGATGCCCTCAGTCCTTATGTTCTTTCCTCTTCCGGTTGTTGCTGGCAATTTCCCTTTCCTTGAGATAGCTGAGACCATCTCTGTGACTGTTCTCCAGTGCCCACCTGAGCCTTCCCAGCAGCTGGTGAGGTCTGTGGTGGCAGTTGGAGGTGAGCCGTAAGGAGTTCAGAAGGGAAGGTGGAAAGGAATGCAGCTGGG